CCCCGCAGCGACCCCGGGACCCGAGAAGGGAGAGGAAGCTGCGGCTCCGGGCGCTGGTGTGGCCGAGGGCCAGGGTCCCCGGCCGTCCCTGCCCTGGGGAGGGATTCGCTCCCGGGGGTTTTCCCTGCCCCACAGCTCCCAGCTCAGGATGTCGCTGCGCTGTCCAAACCCGAGACCAGCTGGGGCGGCACGTCCCCAGGCACTGTTCCCTCCCACGGTCTCAGGACGCGACAGCCTCCTTTGCTGCTCCTCGTGCTCCGCCGAGGGCAGAGCTCGGCTCTGGCCGCGGCGTCTTCCTCAGCTCCGAAGAGCTGGGAGCACCTGAGCCCACGGGGGACGCGGGGACATCCCGTCAAGGCAAGGGCGGCTCGGCGCTCAGCTTGATGGCCAGGCAGCTTTTCCTGGCACTGGCTAGGCAGTGAGGGGGCTGCAAAGCCCATCATCCCGCCATCCCTTGGCTTGGAGCAAAGATTGTCTCAGAGAAGGCCCGGGCAGAAGGCAGGGCCAGCCCGCAGAAGTGGATTGCGGCTGGCTCTGTGTGCGGGGAGCACGAGTGGCCCCACCACGCGAAACGCGCGGGGCTCGGCAGCCGCTGCTGTCCCGGGTGGGGCCGGGTGTGTCCCGGAGCAGCTGCGCTCACGGATGATGGGACACGGGCCAGCTCCACCGACTGCCCCACCCCGGTATTAAACAGTCGTTTCCCCCTGCACAGCTCAGGGCTGCACCTGCAGCTTCCCCCAAAACGTAGGGGAGATGTGGGTTAGGGGCAGTGAGAGCAGCCAGGTCAGGGTAAAGGTGTTAGGGGCTTCAGGCAGATCCAGTCCCTGATCTGGCCCTGGCACATATCCAGAGGCTGCAGCAGCTCTCGGGGCTCAGGCTCCCGTGCCTGTTCAGTGACCCCATCCAGGGCCTGGAGTCAGACGTGCAGGGAAACGCAGTTCTTGGAAGAGGACATGGACCCTGTTCTGGCTAGAGATACAGTGGGACGTTTTGGGGGGAATTCCCCCACATCTGTGTTTGCCCAGGAAGGAAAGGGATGGGCTATGGGGAGGGAGGCTCTGCCTGGCAGCTGAGCAGGGTGGCCACCAAACACCAGCTTTGGGGTTTGGGTTTTTTTCTTATTTCCTCCTCCCTGGCCAGGCCTTCACTCACTTCCTGCGCTGAGCCCCAAAGCCCCCCTGCACAGGCAGCAGCTGGAAATAACTCACAGGAAGGAGAGGCCAGGGAATATGTCCGGTGCAGCTGCTGGCCCTGGGGATGTCTGGCAGGATGGGGAGGGGGTACCCATGTGCAGGACCAAAGCACTTGGGGTCCCCTGACCCCATCTGCAGGCAGGCCAAGCCCAAGTGTGGGTGGCCAGGGCAGGCATGGGAACCTTCTGAGCACCAGATCCCACGATGGCTCTGGGGCTGTGTCCTGCCAGCAGCAGGACAAGGCAACTTCCCTCAGCCATCAGGCAGCCCCCAAGGCCTTGGAGGCCCCAGCACAGCAGGGTTGGCTCTACCCTAGTGCTGGGGGACCTGGGCAGCCCTGTAAGTCCCTGCACCATGGACCTGTACTGGGGAGAGGGTACAGATGCAGGTAGATGCAGGTAGGAAATGGCCTCACAGTGAAACCAGGGCAAAGATTTCCTGCACCCCTGGGCACTACTCACCAGCACCCCATCCTGCCTGCCTGAGCAGCATACCTCAGGGGGTGGGGGCTTGTGGGGATAGAGCCACATTGGGTGAGACCAGAGGAGTGTGACTGTGCCCATGGTCATTATCTCATGGGACCAACACCAGTGAGCCTCAGCTCAACCCTGAAGTGCCCCTAGGGTGCCCAAAAACCTCTCTGAACATCACTAGAGGCCCTCAGGAACCCCCAGCTCAACAGGATACTGGGGAGTGCAGCTGCTTTTTGCCCGGGGCAGGGAGAGCCTCACAGGCATGGTGTGGGAGGGACTGCAGGCTCTGGAATCCGGATTTTCCCCTGTAAGGAAATATCCCAACCAGCATTTCTCTCCTCTGCTCCACCAGAGCAGGCGCCTGACAGCACTAAAGCCTCCCATGCCACAGCCAGGACTGAGAGATGTGGTGGTGCTCCCAGGCTGGGGAGGCCAGATCCCAGGGGAGGACATGCCAGGAATGAGGCCCGGGAGAGGGTGAAGGGCCCCTTTATGAAGCAGGACACAGGACAGCACTGGGCTGGTGAAGTCAAGGGCCCTGTGACTCCAGCTGGGGGAGCAGCAGCTGGACTGGTCTGGCACTGGTAAGGGGAGGTGCTGGGACTGGGAGGGGGCTGGAGTGGGGCAAGGAGCACAGGGGCTGATGCTGTGGGGATGGGCTAACAGACCGCAGAGACACAGGGGTGAGGACACCCCAGCCCAAGCATTATCCAGTCCCCAGGAGAGTTCCCAGTGTGGAACTGGCTGGTGATGTCACACAGGAGCAGTGGGGGTGACCATGCCCAGGATCCCATGGCTAAAACAACCCTTTTTTATTTATACCAAAGTCTCAGGGTTCTTCATGATAAATGCAAGGACAGAGAAAAGCCTCAGGAACACGCCCAGTGCTGGGCCAGGCCTTGGGGACATCCATGGAACAGTGTCTGTGCTGTGGGATGAGACCCCTGCCCACCCCTGACGGGGTCTGAAGGCGCTGAGCAGCCCCTCACCGGCGGTAACGGTAACGCTTGAAGTGGAACCAGAGCTGGAAGATGCCATTGGCAAACTGGCAGCGGAAGCCATGCCGGTGGGAATACTCCCACTCCCTATTGACGATCTTGAAGGCGATGTCCTCATAGGGTGGCCCGGCATGGAAGCGCAGGATGGCGAAGTCCTTGTTGTCCTGGCAGGCTTCCAGGAAGTACTCGGGCGTCGAGCGCTTGTCAATGAGATCGGGGTAGAAGATGTTGAACTTATAGCCCTGCACGATCTTGGGAGGGGGGTTGTCAAAGTCATAGTGGGTCTGGTTGTACTTGTTCCACTCAAAGCCTGTGTGCACACGGTTGAAGAAGCGGGGCTTGCGTGGCCGGTACTTGTCAGCCCACAGATAGGCCTTGCCTGTGAGTGGCATCTCCACGCTGAACTGCGCCTCGTCCGCGCCCATGCCCTCCTTGGCCTTACGGAAGAAGATGTCATCGGTGCTCTCAGAAGCATCACCTATAGGGGAGGAGAGGTGACATCAGGTTCTGCAGTGCCAGCCAGGCCTGGGCCATGCAACACTGCTCCAAGGCATGCAGAGAGAAGGAGCTGCTGTGATGCAGAACTGGACACAGGAATGCACAGGCTGCCCCGCTGGCTCTGAGTGGCACTGGACCGAGTTGTGCTAGAAGACTCAACCAAAACACCCCTCCTGCCTGTCTGCAGCCAAACACCTTGGTTGTACAGAGGCAGGTCCCCCAGGGCACACCATCAGCCTGAGCACGATCTTCTACCTGTTCCTGCCCAGACCACAGTGCCCTTTGCTCTAGGGGCACCGCTCAGGTCAGCTCTGGGTGCCTGCCCCAGATCCAGCTCTTACCCTTTCCTGAGGGCAGTGTCTTCCTCCAGCCCTGCATCCTGAACCACTGCACACCCTCCAGGCCGGGCAGGCTGCAAAGCCAGTGGGCACAGGGCCTGCCCGGGGCTCACCTGTCACCTGGAGCTGCTGGCGCAGGAGCAGCAGCCGGTGCGTGTCCTCCTCGGCCTCCAGAACGTGGGCATCAAAGGGCAACTCGTTGGGGCCCAACAGCCGGGGGCTGTACCTGCCCGCGTCGTAGTCATCCAGGCTCTGCTGGATCAGATCCTCCTCCATCAGCACAGCCTCCCCCTCTGCATCTCCCTTGGCCTCTGCATCCTGCTCTGCCTCTGGCTCTGAGGATGGCCCTGGCTGTGCCTCAAGGCTCTCCTCGGCATCCAGCCTGCACGGAAGGGAGAAGAGAGGACTGGGATGGAGATGGTACTCTTGTTCACTGCTCACCTGAGCTCTGCCTCGCGAAGGGTGAGAGCACAAGACTGTCTTTGTGCCCAGGGACAGGCCCGGGTGTTTGCTCACCTGTCACTGGGGGAAGCTGGCTCCTGCTTGATGATGGGGAAGAGCGGTTCACTCTCCACACCCTGCTCCTGCTTCAGCTTGTACAGCTTCTGACGCAGCACGTCCTGGTGCCGCTCCCGCAACCTGAGAGAGGAGAGGAGCCGTTGGGTCCCACCCAGCACATCCACCTCACTCCCACTGCCCAAAGCTGTGACACCCACCTCCATGAGCAGAAACCTGCTGGACTTGGGTGGCTTTGGGCTAAATAAGCCCCAGTTCAGTTCCCTCTTGGAGACCTCACTAAACATCACCACTGCAGAAGGGACTAGGTGTCCTGCTCTGCTCCCCTCTTGGAAATCAGCCATCTCAGAGAATGCAGAACATTCCCCCCATTCCCTCCACCAACTGGGTTTATGCCTCCTCAGCTCTGCCCATGGCAGGGTCTGCACTACCCCACTCTCTGGTCTCACCTGGCCCGAGCCATGTAAGCCTTCAGCTGCTGCAGAAGACTCTCCCAGTACCCAATGTCCAGGTTGGGCCCTCCTGCCCGGATCTTGCTCTCAATACCCTGGTACAGAGCTTGCAGCTGGTTGTATGTCTTCCCCTTGAACACGGACTGCACATCTGAGCTGACCGAGGCGTTGACACCATCACGACGCTCCCCTGGAGAGGTGAGGGCAGCTGGTCAGTCTTCAGGCACTCAGCTGCACTCATCCCAGTTCTGCTGACAGCAGGAGGCCAGACCCCAGCTGTGGACAGCTGCGACAGCCACAGCCTCCATCCAGCAGATCCAAGACAGCCCCTCTGAGCCTGAGCACACATGGCAGAACCTGTGTCCTACATGACCCACCATTCACAATCCCCAACACCCACACCAGGCTCTATTCTCCTGCTCACCTGGTCCCCCTTTCCCAGAAGCCTCCAGCTTGCGAAGCTTGGCTATCTCATCCTCCGTGATGATGGTCATGTCCCTCCAGAAGTCCACGTTCTTCCCTTGCTCCAGTTCCATGTATACCTGCAGGCAGGAGACACATCAGGCACTTGCTCCACACCATGGGCAGGAAAGCAGAGCTGATAGAGAAGCCCTGAACCCAGGCAGAGGGCCAGTAGAGCAAGCACCTGGATGTCCTCCACCAGGTCCTCCATGTCAGAGACAGTCAAGCCATTTAGGAAGGTGTAGGGCTCATGCATCTCCACGGCCAGGTCATCATCCTCTGCGCTGATGTACTTGGCCAGAAGATCAATGGGTTTTGCCCTCCCATCCCGAATCCGGATCTTAGACCTGGTGAAGTGAGAGGAACAGAGGAACAGTGGGGGACACTGAGCAGTGCCATCCTCTGCTCCCTGCCAGGCCCAGCTCTGAGCAGGTGCACACCTACCGCAGCTTGGCCTGTTGCAAGTGAAAGTTGTCCTCCTGCTCCTCCCAGGTTTTGAAGTGTTCTGCCTCTTTCTCCCGCTGCAGCATCTCCAGCTCCTGCTCCCGCATGGCTTTTTCCCGCTCCCGCTCCAGACGCAGCTGCTTCACCTGCCCAGAGTGAAAGAGCTGTGAGGCCACTGTGGATGGGCCAATGTGCAGACACCAGACACCTGCTTGAGGACACAACCATAACATGACCTGTTCTTGAGTTGTCTTGGCTCCTGCCATCAGCCCAAGCTCCTGGAGAGTGGGGAGACAGCAGGGCCAGGTTGCTTGGGCTCACTGCCAGCCCTATGGGAGACAGGGGACACAGGCACAACTGAGTGCCTCAGTGTAGTGACCTGGCATTGTCCTCCTCAGCACCTACTGAGCTCCTTGGGCTCAACCCCAAGGGAAGAGGTTTCTCATCCTGGAATAGCAGAAACCAGGGTTCTATAAAACCCACAATCCTACAGACTGGACACTCCCCAGAGAAGAAAATGGGGACTTCATCTTCCCAGTGAGAGATGGAGAGAAGCAAGCTGTAAACAGGGCTCTCTGTCAGACAATGACATGGAAAGTATAGCTAAGCCCACCTTCTGCAGCTCCAGGCGATTGTCCTCCTGGATTCGCTTGTTCCTCTCCTTCAGATCCTTCTCGTCCAGATGGCTGATCCCTTTCTTTTCCAGTGCCTTTAACAGAATAGCCAAGGGAAGCTGTGGAACCCAAGGACCTCCACAGCCCCTCACTGGCCAGCAAATGCTACTCCATTCACCCATTTCTGCTGCTCCAGTAAGGTCTGATGCTGTTGAAGGTCCCTAAATCACTCAAACACTGCTCCTGAAGCCCCTCAGCAAACCCAGGCCCAGCCCACATAGCCCATTTGGCCTGGTGAGGTGTCAGCACAGCAGTATCATGGAATATCTGTTATAACAACAGTACCTGACCTTAAAGATAATCTTGTTCTACTTCCTGCCATGGCCAGGGACACCTTCTACTAGACCAGGGTGCTCCAAGCCCCACCCAACTTGGCCTTGGACACTTCCAGGGATCCAGGGGCAGCCCCAGCTGCTCTGGGCACCCTGTGCCAGGGCCTGCCCACCCTCCCAGCCAACAATTCCTTCCCAATTCTAACCCTGCCCTCTGGCAGTGGGAAGCCCCCTTGTCTTGCCCCTCCAGGTCCTTGTCCATTTCCTCTCCAGCTCTCCTGAAGCCTCTGTAGCCACTGGAAAGAACCCTAAGGTCTCCCCAGAGCCTCCTCTTCTCCAGAGAGCCTTCTCTCTAACCCTGAATGCTCCCAGTTCTCTGTCACTACTGTAGCAGAAATGCTGCACTCCCTTTACCATCTCCATGTCCCTGACCCAGTAAATGCTGCCCAGCAGTCAGCTGGTGCTCTCCCAGCAGCTCCAAGAGCCTCTCCTGCCCTCGATCTTATCTCACTGCCCTGGATACAGACCCCATCTCAGGCACAGATGTCCCTGACTCCCCCTGCCTGTTCCCTTTGGCTGCAGGGACAGTGCAGAGCTCACCTTGCTCCAGATGAATGTGCCCAGCAGATTGTTGTCCCCGAAGGGATTGTCAGTGTTGGTGTAACCCATATACTCCTCACCCCAGCCCATCTTCTCCCGCTTCTTTCTCTCCTTGGCCTCCTTCTTGGCCAACCTCCGTGCTCGCTTCTCCTCGGGTGTCTCCAGGGCCTTTAGCAGAGCCGCCTGTTTCTTCTTCTCCTCCCTCAGCCTCAGCCGCTCCTGCAGGCTCAGCTGCTGCCCCGGCTCCTCCCGGCCCCGGGGCCGTGGCGGGGAGGGGGAGCTGACGGAAGACACGGAGGACTTGGATCCATCCCTCCTGCGGCGCCGCTCTCGGCTCCGCGCTGCCCTGTCCCGCCCGCGCTCCGGGCTGGAGTCGGAGGAGCGGCCCCGGGACCGTGAGCGCTGTTTCCTCCGGTCCTTATGGTGCCGGTCCCGGCTGCTGCTCCTTTTCTTCTTTTTCCATTTCTGTCTCTCATCGCCGAAGTCCGAGCTGGGG